TAATGAAGAAAACCAGTTCTCTGAAATAATTATATAAATTCAAATAAATGGTTAAGCATTCGATCCTACAGAATTGTACAAGCCCACGATTGCCGCATGAAAATTATATAAGGTCCAGATTCGAGTTTCACTAGGATTACTTCGCCTAGATACATGTTCTAAGTACAACTCAACCAGTCCTGAACCATGTCGTTTTGTACTTTCCTATAATTCATACTCTAATCCAGAAATCTGCTCTTGAGCAGGTACAAGGAGCAAAATTTTCACTAGATGCTCAACGAACTGGCTCATAAACATCTTCCAATAAACAGTATAACTTTTCATATGCAAAGTGATCTGCTCTGCACGATGACAGTTACTTTATAGAACGCACTAGTGCATAGAAAGTCGGCCTAGAATGGATACTAGGAATCGAATAGCCATGAAGTCTTGAGGCGACTCGCACAGGAACATAAAACTACAATAATACTTAAGTATCCCATACCAACTGACAAGATCTAGACGATGCTATTTCCTGATTTCCTGAGACATATTATTAAGCAAATGCGTATAGTATCCTTAATCCGGTCAAAAAAAAGTTTCCCAATATCGACAAACGGCATTGAGTAGAGCTCGTCAAGTTGCACTTGCCACATATAAGATCAGCACCATGTTTGATTGTAAAAATTTTTTTGAATGTCTCTTGAAAAATACGACAAGGAAAATGATCAGTATATGAGTTCTTCAATTGTGATCAAGAATTTATACGGGATATCAGAAGCACAGAAGTTAAAACACAATCGAGACATCTCTAGGCTCTTTCCCTTTTTTAATAGTTCGCGAACATACAAGAAGGCAGAGATTATTGTCTGCTTCTAAAAAGTTTTAGCTCATTGAAAGGACAAAGGATTGTTTTTAAATATTCCTTATATTATTATAACAGTAACTGTGATTTTCGAAAACAGGTAAATCGCACACAATCGTCAATATCATATATTCGATTGCTTAGGTATGATCATCTATAGAACGTTCTTGAACAAAACATAACTTATAAATTATTTTAGAAATGGCACTATAACAGCCGAGGAAAAAAGCTGAAGATTGTTCTGTGTGCACTATCAAATGTTGTTTGCAACGAAATTTCTCGTAAACTATTAGCACGGAACACTAACGATCATTGGTCGTAACCAACTGATAGACGTAGATTGATGAATTCTTTGTTATCTAGACGATCTGAACATAATATGTATAGGCCGAGATGGAGGTCTCAGTCATATGCATTTATCCGTTCAGTTTATCAAGAAACACTTCAGCGCGCAATTAAATATAGGTGAGCCACTAGAGAAATACTTCTTGTTATCTTCTTGCCAAACATACATGTTGTTCAGCAACAGTAGATGGATTTCAAGGGGTGAGAAAAGGACATCATTTTTCTCTTCACTGTTCGAGCCCATCTAGAGACGGATGTTATGCCTGCTATTGGATTTGTAGCTGATCGACGTCGACTCAAGGTAGCATTGACTTGTGGTAAATATGCAGTGTATGTCATTGGTCATGCAAAATCATTGAGTGTAAGTTATATCAGAAAATTTCCATGTCTCTCCTCCTACCAATCTCTATGGTACAACAGATCAATCAGAATTGGAATTTGCTTGTTCAAGATGCACAAGTTTGTCAATGTTTCTTTGATTATCAACCACAACGATCCTTCAATTTTTTACGATAGATCGAAACGAGATTTAACTCATTTCAATAAATAGAAGAAAGACTAAATTATTAATTTTCTTCGAAAATACTGACGATCGATCTGATGTATTGGGCGTGATAAAGGGGTGTCGTGTATGGATGGATGATGATAAAATGGAAGCCTCATATCCATACCCACATTCTTTACTTGTGCTTTTCTTGTAATAGCTCAGAATGTTTATTTATGGTGATAATATGAGGTATTACTCATCGACTTAGAACTTTATTTAATTATGTGATAGATACTTTTGATATAGTCATCATTGGAGGTTTTCAAAGGAAATTTTCAATGCACGGAAAATAGTAATAGCAAGAATGAATACTGTTTGGCGAATAGTGTGATTTGTTTTGCTTGCTGCATTCCCTGGTTCAGGATTCACTTGCTTGGTACACTTGTCTGGTTCCACATCTTGAAGTCTTGGTGGTAGAGTAGCCAGCATCGATTCTATGTGTGTTATTTGCCCATAGACAACAATACGCAAGGCATTATTGTAAAATTCTTGCCATTTTGTTGCTAATGCAGTTGTCCACTGGCGTTGAAGTAGCCATCGAATAAGATTTGATTGACTGAACGGTATTCTAAATTTTCATTGTAAAAAAATTTATCAAATGCATATTAGCTTGATCATGGAAAAGAAATCGATTGTTTTTAAATTATTCTCCAAATGCTTTCGATAAACAAGAAAATTAAAATATATTTCATATTTTACAGAATGGCTTACTGTAAAAATGATCGTAATCATCGACAAAATGATTTTTTTAAACAACACTAATTTCTCTAAATCAAATTTCCCAAATAGAAATATGTCCATTTCTAGCAAACAGAAATCCGACTCATTGCCTTATTTTGCTCGATCGTTTTTTTTTGTGAAATATAACTGCTAATAATCCCTGTTGAAATACATAGCGAGATGATAGAATGCAAATCTCTACATAGATAAGACAGATATCAACAGTATCTCTCATGTTCGTGATCTACTTAGTTCGTTATTGATACCTATTTACTAACAGAAAAAAGAACAACTCCGTCGCGGTTTACAAATGAAAATTACAGAAATTGCGCTGAAAGATTCCATTTTTATTTGCATAGTCATATAAAATACAACTTACGATGAGTCATTGATCAATGCATTCCATGATTGAGGAGTCATGAGATTTAGACAAACACTTAAATCGGGCATTCGAGGATAATAAGAAAAAAAATGAAGACACATCTCCTGTTTTGTTGATTCACCACCCTGAATAGATCAAACGAAATCGATAGAAGATATAAAAGAGTGTTTATTCCCTACCAATGTGATAATATTTTTGTTCATTGTGTTATACACGCATCGAGTATAGAAAGCATCGCCCTATGGTAAGAATAGTTTAGATAAAAGAAAGAAACATTTAAGTCATACGGGATATAATTGTATTGGTTTTGGTAGTGTATTTCCAAATTGATAATTGAAATCGAAGGATTGAGCATTGAATAAATAATCAGTGGGCATTCCATTTCGAATCAACTTCGTCCAAATACTTCGACCTAGAAGTAAAATTAGTGAGGATATTGAATCTATCGACTATTTGCTTTACCTTGTAAATGTGCGTGTGGAAAGGCTCCGAAGACAGTAATACCAGATTCGGGAATATTCTATAACGAATTTCATAATATGTTCAAATGTCGAAGTTTACAATACAGACTTCTGTCGCTTCCATTGGACAATATGAGTCGACGTTGAACTGTTCGATGTTCGGCGGAATGGCCAGACTTATTGCATTTGCAGTTGTTCCGAGTGTAAGGTAACCAAGATCATATTGGCGAAGTGTATTTCCAAGAAAGAATCGAATACCAGACGCGTCGACCCGATCTAGAAATAGATCAGTAACAAGCTTGATTCTTTAAATAAAAACGAAACATGATTTCATACTTGATAATCTTTGTGGATTATTATAATGCATTTGAATCATGTAGTATCCAACGGAAAAATTTGCGCCAAGTGGATAACCAGCCTGCTCCGGATATTCTACTATCTATTGATAGAAATATTTTGATTAAAGTTACTATAGATAATTTTCTTATATCATACGAAATCCCCGCCGACAGCCCATCCAAGAGCTGTATTCACCATACACTTTTCTACTTCATTATCCATTTGATCACATAATCCTTGTGGCAGTATTGTACCATTGAAATTAACTGTCGGATCGCATTCAAACATCAGGAGATGATGAACAATATCCAAATTGGCTGGATCGATAAAGATCTCGTACTAAAAAACAATAATATGTCTGTCAAATAATATCTTAGACAGAAATACTTACAGCAATAGCATGTCTTTTGGTTATAAAATTAGTTGGAGTCTTAAATACTTCACAATAGTATATTGTATCTTCTGATGGAACTGCAAACTGAAAAAGGCTCAATCAAATGAAAATGTATTTAATGATTGAAGTAAAAATGAGCTAACATTATTCAAGCGAAATTCAATCGAATCCAAAGTAGCAAACTCGGATGCCGACGGTGGATTGCTATATGAGCGAAGTGGTAGTACACGTGAACCGCGCCGACTTCCATGATAAGTAATATCATTGTTTGGTTGTGATAGATCAGGATCGACAAGTCCATAGGCAAAAATAAGATTATTTGTACCGGACTGAAAAAAATTATAAAAGGAGGACCAAAAAGAATTATTTGATAAAAAAAAAGAACATCCTGAAAGATGTGCATCGATATCTCTATGAAGTACTAAACAGTTTGCAACTATTGAAACACAAAACATGCTGTTGTATATTTTGATCTGATGATTTTCGATTAAAATCAACATGTGTCATGAGTTCAGTTTATGTTCTATTACAATATATGTATCAAAACATCATGACATGAACAATAGAGGTTTTTCTTTTAAATTGTGATAGCTATATTTTATGGAATACAATACAACTGTTTCATACCATAATCGGAACATCCATTGGATCACATGTGTCAAATTTGCGTTTAAATTGAATGGCTGTCCAACCGTTGATCTCACGACCTTGAAGAACAATCCAATTGGCTTCACCATCATCTATGATAGGTCGTGAGTGATTGTAAGCATAACGATCCTTGAAATAGGAACAAAGATTATTGTTTTAAAAAACAAATAAAATCTTTCATACTTGAATATATGCAGTACCAGTCTGATCAACCCATCCGAGAGCAATATCAGCACCTGCCATACCACCAGCTTAATAGCATCAAATAGATAAGAATACAAAGAATAAATCCATTAAATTTTACCTCGACTAATGCCCAATCCAATCCAGCCTGTAGTTTTAACATGGAGTTCAAAAATAATTTCCTGACTTGTTTCATCTATATTCCACCATAGATCAGATACATTGATTTCAAGTGAGGTGGAATAATTGTAAATAGTGAATGGTGTTAGTGGACTTGAAATACAAATGCTTTCCTTGGTCATTATGAGCAATAGACCGATAGAGAGAACTACTTTCGACCAAGTCGAAGAGAATAAGCCAAATCTCTTTTGTATCAACATCATTTTATGAAATATTAATAATCAATCACGATGTACTTGATTCTGATGAATTAATGACTTTAATAATAATTTGTTTTTATGAAACTAACAATAAAACAATAGTGAGTAGAAGTCTGGCGCTGATAGTGAAAAAACGCAAAATACGGTTTTTAAAAAGTTTTTAACTAACTTTTTTCCAAGCAATGACTGAATGTGTAATCACCACGGAAAACTGTCATGGATCACGCTGACAAGCTTTTCTATATAGGAGACAGAAATTGAAGCGCAAGAGTCATCGTTGGTGAAGACACAAAGAATATCAGTTGAAATATAAGTATTGAATGCTATTTATTTCCTCTACAAGCACTGTTCCTAACTATTTTAGCTTTCACAGTATCTTTCCTCTTGCTGCTATCATTATTATTATTTTTTTCATATTTGCTCAGTTGAATTCAGTCGATCCTAGTCCTAATGTTTTATGCAATAAGTTTGTTGCCTTTCTCTGGTAAAGATTAGGTTGGAAAGAAATTGACACAATATGCATCTGTTCAACGAGCTATGTTGCTGTCAAGAAAAATATTCAAAGTACGACTCTCACACTTCAATTCCTCAGTCAGAAGTGACCAAGTTTCGAATGTTTGTTAAAAAAATGTTTTCAACAATGTTAGTAATTTGAATCATGCAATAGGAAAAATATTTTACAAGGAATAAAAATACTCTATGACAATTTTAGCACGGTATTGATGTTAGGAGCAACAATCAATGACAAGTTGGCTCAATGATCGATTGCTATGCTTTTCACAATGATACTTTAGATCTTCGATGGTACATCACTTCACTAATATGTTAGTTTTAAAAATTAAGAAGACAAACCATTGCTAAAAAGCAAGCAAGAACATTGTGCATTTTTTTTTGATTGAAAACATTTTTTAGCAATTACATGGCTTTTCTTTGAATTTCCAGCCCTTTCATATTTTTAATGCTCTCCAATTTTAATATGCAATCTACAAAGAAATACGAGTCATATTCTCACCTGTCATATTCATATCACGCAGATGTTTGTAAACCGTTCTATTCTTTCTATCAGTTTTCTTTTATTGTCCAATTCGAATTATTGACTGTCGTTGCATATTATTTACTCAAAGAATTTAACCGAAAAAGTTTTATGGTATGCTGCTTTCTACTTCAAGAGACGTTCATTGCAATGACTAACAAATTTCAATAGCGAAACAGTTCTTACATACATTCAAATAAAAAATAAGACTGTATCATAACGTTCTCATGAACAGATAAGTATATTATGTTTCTTGCAAAAAAGATCAATCGTTAATAGCAAGCTTTTTTCTTTGACTAATCGCTTTTCGATTCGTGCAAAAATGAAACATTGAATAATTTTTGTCCTGAAAAAATATATTATTCATCTCAATCAAGCAGTTCTCCTTGCCATCAAGTAACCTGATGGCACAAAACTATTTTTATAAAGTAATTAAAATATGCGTTGAGCTGAGTAATTTGTAATTACGATTCTTAAATTAAAGTAACATACACAACGAGTATAAAGAACAATTCTTTTGCTATCTACTCATACGTTTTTTTCGCCTTCCATTTTTAAATATGCCAATTGGCTTCAAATGGGTGTAATAACTGTTAGGGAACAAAAAATAAAATATATATATATATATATAAACTACACATTTACTCTCAAATTTTTTTAATGCATGCTATTCTTTTACCTACGAGCAAAACATAAACTCTACTCATATCACAAGAGAAACTTCGTACGGTAGTATTATTGAACATTTTATACAATCAAAATAAAATAAACTCCTCAAAATTCTAATAGTCTTCTAACGTAACCTACCTGCTTCAAAACTTCTCTTACTTACTTCTTGTATATTGTTTTTTCAAATGCACTACTCTAGAGAATACAGAGAACGAGAGAGAGAGGTTTCTACTTTTTTTTTCTATTTTTTCAGAAAAATAATATCAAAATATTACTCTCCGAAGACTCGCTTCAGTTATTATCCAATCAAATTAAGTATTATTGCGACTTTTTTTCAAGATTGCAACATCTGCATTCTGGAGGCTGTGCATAATAACACAAGCATGAAATTCAACAACTAGAGTAAAAAAAAAGAATTTTTTTTTCACTCTATCAAATTTCAAATATTCAGCGTTTTCTATTATCGAGTAATGCGTATTTCATAAAAGAGAACTACGACATTGTTGGTGTTCTGTCAGTTGAAGTCTATGTAAATTATATGCGTTATAACATGCTTAGCCATTAATGTTGTGTTACCTAGATGATGTGCCTTGATGATTAATTATTTTTCTATTGAATAGGGTGTGGATGTGGGTGTAGAGAACAGACACACCCATCCATACTCGCATCCTACACTTACATCCGTACCCATGCCCACAAACAGCCACACTCACAATCCATCCCCCTCACACCTTTTGTCTGTTGTTTCAACTTTTTCCTTTAGGTGAAATTCATTAAGTAGAATTTTCGTCTTCGTTCTTTGCATTCATACTTTCTAAATATGGCGAAACAAAGGGCACTATTTGGAAATAATAAGAAAATTTTTCAGTGCTCTTTGTAGAGCTTGACCGAACTTTCAACTTCTGGATCGTCAGTATTGCTGGAGAAATGACATATTCATCAAAATCAAACAATTAATACATTGGGCAAAATCACGAGACAACGAATATACACAAACTGTTCTTGAAGACTCATCAGTGCTCTGAAAAAAAGACGTAAAATATTTAATATTCATCTTGGTTGTTTTGGCTATTGTCCTCAAATATTGCAATTAAGTGCAGCATTTTATATCACAAGTAACGTTCATCGTCAAGCGATTCACTTAGCCCTAGACTGATAGAATACATGTACGGAAGGAATAGCATAAAAAGCTACATTAAAAAAGTAATACGCAACATTGATAATATGACCAGTATACCTTAGGCGACCAGAAAACTTAATTTGGAGAATTCTCACTCTAAGTAAAGGTGATGCATTTACAAATTTAATTTTTTTTTATCGTTTTTGTTTTATTTTTTTTTTGCTTTTATGAATATAAATAGCGCCTAATAAGATTAGACAACAATACGATTTTTTTATAATTATATTGGCGCTATTTGTACGTACAAAAATATGAATTATATTATTCATAAAATTTGAGTTTTATTAATCAATATTTTATGCTTAAATTCACGCATTAATTCTAAACTATTAATAAATTAGATATTCATTGATACAACATTGCACAATCAATCTTACAATAATGAATAATTTAAACGATTTCTTTAAATCCATACTGCTCATTTGGTCTGACTCTCACTAATTAAATGCTTGTGTAAGTAAGCCGTTTTACATCACTACCCAAATTATAGTTATTCCATTGACATTTTACCCATGATTATTATGGGTTCATTTACATCAGTCTTTAGATGGTCATTTGTACCATAGTTACCGGAATAGTTGTTTGTACCATGATTGCTATATGGTCACTTGTGCCATAGTTATGTGGTCGTTTCTACCAAAAAAATGACCGTTTGTGCCATAGTTACATGCTCATTTGTACCATAGTTACCTAGTTAATTTTAGTAAAAAAATGGCCGTTTGTGCCAAAAAAATGGTCACTTGTGCCAAAAAAATGGCCATTTGTGGCACGAAAATGGTCACTTGTGCCAAAAAAGTGGTCGTTTATGCCATAAAAATGGTCACGTGTGCCAAAAAAATGGCCATTTTGACTGCGTTACCGACAGACAGACGGACAGACAGACAGACACAGGTGAATTTCGGTTTCTAGACGCTAGCCTTTCAGTCTTGGGAATAGAAAGAAAATCTTATTTTATTGGCTTTGCGCGCCATTCGAAATATATATTTATTTTTATTTTAACGATCACATAGTTACCATATGGTAACCATACGTGTTACAGACAGACAGACAGACAGACAGACAGACAGACAGACAGTCAGACAGACAGACAGACACAGGCGAATTTCCGTTTCTAGACCCTATACTTTCAGTCTAGGGAACATATCGAACATCCGGATGCTAAAAATAATTTACAGGATGATTTTGTAGTTTTTTGCATAGATTGGAACTTCATTTCTTACCCGATCACAAGTTCGGCCGGCTATTTCTCGATTGTAGTTCTCATCGGATAAATGGTCTCGTCGATGATTTTCTTTTGCCAGACAGAATCGTAAAATACAAGTGACAATCAATGTACAGCCTAGCAAAATGCTGACGATGACGTAACCTTGGCGATATGTTGGTTTGTCGATTTCACGGTATATCTAAGTGATTCAGAATTTTGAATCAGACTGTTATTCATACAAGTAGTCTCACCTGAGGTACAAGTACCCCCCCAATTTACCCTACAGCAGTAACAAAACTAACAGCTACAGCACGTTTCGTATGACCACCTACATTATTTGTGAGCCAAGCTAGTAGAATAGGTAATGCCGCCAATGTCCCACAATGAGCTATGCATATACTGATATACGTTGCCGCTTGATTCTGATTTGTTAATATTATCATCAAGATGAAACCCAGTATACCAATTGAAAGAAGAAAAGTGTAGTGGAAGCTGTGTTCAAGCCGACGTGCTGAAGAATAGCCCCCTAGCAAACAACCCACGCACGAGAGAATGTATGGGGGTATCGTCATTAAGTGGATTTCTGTGTTTGAAAACCCCATACTATCCATAATTGATGGTAAAGTCATTACGAGACATTTGATAATGGTGAGATTGCACATGGCTAATATAGCATATAAATAAATATACCCATCCACAAATGCATAGCGCACTTGCCGCAACGAGAGCCGAGTATGCGACTCTAGCGCATCGTCCGCCACGCCTGCATCTTCTCGAAGAAGGTTTGTGAGCAGCTGTTTCTCGCAATTATTCAACCCTATTTGAACAAGTGAATG